AATGAGGTGGTGTTCCACGTTTATCATGTAGTTCCTGGTCGGTTCTTTCCATGTTTGCCTTTGACCTCAAATGTCTTCCACGTGTGAGTCTATTTGGGTGTCCTCTTGGTATCACTCGAAACGACTCAAGCAATGTACGTAGCGCATGGTAGGTGGGATGCATGTGTACGGCTCTGTTAGGTGTGCCAGTCAAGGACCAATTTTGCATTAGCAGTCTGGCCATCTTGTCATTGGCACGGCTTATTACCCTTCCTTTATCGAAGGCGGAACTGTGGTTCTTTTGTTGTACGCGGCCGTAGATCATGGACAGCTTATCCTTGCGGTTTATTATTTTCGTCCCTTCTTTTTCGTCGTCTTAGGGGTATGATGAAAACGATAAAGAAAACACAGACTGAGACAACTAATGTAATGAGGAAGATAAGAAATGATACTCGTGCATCCACGTTTCGAAATTCGGCTTCACGCTTATCCACGCGTAGGGTGTCTTACATACTGGCGTTTATCGTTCCAACGCCTGACTCTCAGCACTGCACCAACATGCGAATTAACACCAGCTCTATTCTTACTGCAGCCAATCCCAAACTGTCAGCCGTGGACAAATTTGCTGATCTCGCTCTGCGTCTCTTTCTGGAGGGTGCTGATGAACTCAAATTTCCGCCTACAGAAATCGCCCTCTTGGGGAAGATAGATAATATCAAGGTCCGTGGACTGTCATCAGCTTACAGAGCATGTCCGATCCGTCTAGAGGAGGCATTCGCCACAGACACAAAGATGTATCCGTTTAGTTTTACCGGGTGTATCGGAGCATCCAACATCTCACTTGACCTACGTATTAAGAACAACTACCTTGGTGATTACGTGAGTTTGAAATTGTTTATCGTCTTTTGCAACTGTCCTTGGTTTGAAAACTGTTTTCCACCAAAAAGACAGACACCAAAATGGTAATTATTGACGGTAGGAGTTATTTATGCCCCATGTACAGCTGGTTTGACATAACATTGTTTAACTTTATCCGATATAAACGTTGCATATATCAGTCGGAGAATTATTTTTTGCTTATTTCTAAAGTCATTTGTCACAACACGCTGTAAGGAAATAGTTGGACCGTATTTTTATACCGCCTCGTGGCGTGGTAAAGGTAAAATCAATTCAGATATTTTGTCGTGGAAATGGACACGGCAAACAATCTAATTCACTGCAAAGCAGGTGGTTAGGTAGTTTTTTTTGTATAATACAGTTTCCACCACTATTTACTTTTAAAACAAGGCGGACAGAAGTTA